AAGAAAGGAGTTTGAATTTTTAGAAATATTTATACAACGATAACCACTACCATAATCAAATGTAGAACATTTTTTCATGATCCCACATTGATTCCCTTTATCTTTTGCAGTCAGCTTCTCTCCACCCACTTGCATGCTACCATTAACTTTTTTCTTTACTATAAGTCAGGGCTTCTCAATCTTAGCAGTATTAATGTTTTGGGTAATTTGCTTTCCTTTGCCGGAGGGGATTGTCCTGTGCATTGTAGGATTTTTTAGCAGCATCCTTGGCTCCAATCCACTTCATGCCAATAAAACTCTCCCTCTCTCTTCTCAGTTGTGACAATCAGAAATGTCTATAGACATTGCCAAGTGTTCCCTGGGGAGCAAAACCATGTCCACTTGAGAACCACTGCTATAAGATTAGTTTTTCCTGTTCCAGCATTTCATACAAATAGAATTACATAGGATACATTCTTTGTACCTGTTTCCTTTCTCTTAGCATAATGGTTTTGAGATTGACCCAGATTGTTGCATGTCCCATTCAATTGTCTCTTTTTACTGAGATGGCAGTGTTGAAAAACTACAGTTTGTTTAAACATCTACCTTTGGTTTGTATTTTCTTCAAATCCCTAAAAATAATTGCTTTTATGTCCTTGCTAATTTCAGTCTTTGGTGAGTCTGTATCTGTTAATCTGTTAGTTGATGTATCTTCAAGTTGTGAGTCACATTCTTCCTTTTTCTTCATGTTAGTGGAGTTTTTGAGGGCATTAGACCTTATTTACACTGAGTGCTAGATTTTATTGTCTTTCTTTAAGGAGTGGTGGACATTTTTTTTGGCGGGCAGCTAAGTTACTTGTGGATCAACTTTACTTTCAGGACTTCCATTTTTTTGTTAGGGTGGATGTATAATTGCCTTCCTTTATGACTAATTTTACCTGTTACCAAGGTATGACCTTTCTGGGACCTCTGTGGAAAACCCAGGTAATTAACTAGTACTCTCCACTCTGTTTGGAACTTGGACATCTTGTAACTCTAGGTGTGCTCTGGGAATTATTCAGTTTATATCCCCCAGCTGTTGCTTGCTCAGCCTTGTGAAATTTCACACTTAGTCTCCACAGCTGATCAATCAGCAGGCAACGTGACAAATAGTTAACCAGTTTGCTAGAGCTCTTTCTCTCCAGTATTCTATTCCACAAATTTTCGCCTCTTTAATCTCTTTGAAATCTGACATCTATCTCCTTAATTCAACAAAACCTCCAAGAAGATAGTGGACAATCATAAAGCTCACCTGATTGGTTTCCCTTTTCTCAAACATTACAATCCTGCACTGCCCATTGGCTAATGTCTGAAAACAGTTGTTTGATATATTTTATCCAGTCTGGTTGTTTACAGCAGAAGGCAAGTCTATTCCTAGTTCCTCCATTGTGGCCAGAGGCAAAACTTTTTAAAACATTCTTTTTTTCCTGATTATAAATATAGAAATGTTCCATGTATAAATTTTGGGAAATATGGAATTCTATGTATTATTCATATTATACTCACAGTCACTAATTTAGAATTGTCATATGCCTAAAATATCTATTATGGAGGAGCTTTCATTTTCCCTTACCTCATGTCTCTATATCAAAGGGCCTTTGCTAGAGTAATACCATTGGCCTCTCCCTGGACTTCCTTACTCATTCTGCGTAAGTTAAGAGGAATGGTTGATAAGTAAATCTGGAAGAAGGAATAGAAGGTCGTGGGCAACCTACTAGTAGGCTGCACTTTTAATTTAGCCACTTTTATTTTTGCACTTTTTCTAGCAAGAAGAGTCAGGAGAGGCCTTTGATTGTCTCTGTCTGTCTATGGCTGAATAGATTTATGGTATTCAGTTCAGGGAAGATATCTACAAGGCCATATGGCAGTAGATGCAAGCAATGATGCTTAATTTAGCTGTTTGTATACTAACACTGATAACTTTGAACTCTGTTTATCTATACCTGTTGGCTTCTCAGTTGGTCCCAGATTTGGAGAAGATAAAGGAGTTATTTATTGTTCCCCTCAAACTCAGTAGTGTCACAGATAATACATGTTTTTCAGTTAAAACCATATCACATCACTTCATATTTTTAACTTTGAGGAATGCAAACTGTAAAGCATATACTCTCTATGATGGCTGGGGGAAGAGTAGCCAGAATTATAATGCAGGGTACAAAGCTGCCTCTCTAACAGTCTTCTAGTCAGCCTGTTTTCAGCTCAGCATTTCTTTATTGCCTCAAATCCAATTTCCAGCTATCTGAACTGGGTCCTTCAGGCTGTCTACCAACTGGTAGATTCAGGCGCGTACCACATATGCTGCCTTGGTGCTGTTTACAATTATAATGCCTTGTGTTCTTTTCCTTAGAATGAGATGATGAGAAAGCAAAACAGAATAGCAAGTGTGAAACGAGAGAGAATGGAGAGCAAGAGGAGGGAAGAGTAAAAAGAAAACAGAATTATAAATAGCAGATAGCCTATGAAAGGGCTGTATGGATGTCCTCTGAAGGAGGTAGTAACATCCTTTGTTTGAAGGAGGTAAAAGATGGAGTTACACATGAGTAGAAGAAGAAAATAGAGGAGGAAACAAAGATGAAAAAACTGCATTTTCTTTGCAATCGTGTGGCACTAGTGTTTCTTATTAGGCTCTAGGTATTTTGTTCTTGGGAATATGTAATGTGGATATTTTAAATGAAAACAATAAAAATTCAATTTCAATAATGTTGAATTAAGTCTTTACCTAATTCTTGTCAAGATACATTTAACATTAAAAATTTTTTGTTTGCAATAACATAGTTTTCAATAAAATTATTAGCTCTGTTGACATTTTATGAGTTTATAGTTTTAAGTGTTTTTATTAAAAAGAATCATTTTCTCTTTTGATTTAATGCTTGATAATTTTTCTCTAGTTATTGCTTCTGACTGAGGCTATTTGTGAAATGTATCATTGTAGTCTTGGTATTCAAAGACAGTAGATTAGTGCTGAATATCAGAATTACATATGCTTTCAACAGAACAACTTTTTGCTTTATGTATTTATGTGAGTCCACATGTGTTTGGTGTATGTATCTGTGTATTCATGTGTTTGTATGAGAGAGTATGTGTGTAGCTTTGATATAAAAAGGCTTTTTCTGACCTAAATGTCAAATAGGGAAATAGCTACAAAAATCGTGATTTTATATATGATAATCATGAGGATCATGCAGTAATACGTAGCACTTTTCTTAGGGCTAAATAACACTGAAATTTTAGATCACAGGAGTGACATGCCTTGATTACAATATTATCATCTGTTTGTTTATATGTATATACACACATGTACATGCATATATATGACGTTCATTTCATGAGGGCAGTGATATTGTCTTTATCCACATAGGAGGACTTCTGTATGTAGTAAATGGAATTTTATAAAAATTGGGCTGAAAAGTTAAATTTAAATAGTTGTATTATGCTGGAAAGCTTATTTGATTTTTAAAACCTGGAAGAATAAAGACTTGCTTTCATCATTATAATTTTCTTTTTTAAGAAAAAAGACAGACATTGTTAGCTGAAACCCTCTCAAGTATCAGGTTGACCACTGGTATCTTCCTAGTGGGATTAAGTAACCTAAAATAGAGCTTAGGTAGATGATTTTGTAGTGTTAATGTTCCCATACCCTAATTTAGAGCAGAAACAATTAAACCTTTAAATAATTTCAAAAGGTTCTTGTTCTCTTTTTATCCCCAAAATCTCTTTCAAGAGAAGTGGTAAAGAAAAAGCTATGAATTAACTTGGCTACTGATTCTCCCATTTTATTCTAGAAAATAAGAGAACATCTTTGCCTCTTTTGTCTCCTTTGAATTTTTACATATGTATATGTCTATATGAATACATATGCATATATCTTTTTTAACAACACTTAAATGTTCATTTACCATATTATTCATTGATTTTTTAAAAATAAAATCTCATGAGTATAAGTACCTTTAAAGCTACGTAATTAAATGGAATCTGCTATGTATTCATGAGTTCACTTAGAAGATAAGTTATATTTTAGCAATAAATACTTTCCTTAGCCCTATTCATTATCTTCAGTTTATGTGCAGAAAATCTCTACCTCCATCCTCTTTGGATCCCAGCAGGATCTGATAATTAAATTGAAATAACAGATTAACAGGAGAAAAGCATAATACAAGTTTTATGTGGCATGAGAGTTCTCATAGGGAAATGAAGACTCAAAGAAGCAGTTACCTGTATACTGAGTTGAACAAAGAATAATAAACTCTGAAAATGTGACTAAATTATGTGGGAGGCTTAAAAGAGAAGTCATTTTAATAAGGTTTGCAAAGTACTCTCTGGTCTCAACTTCTCATCCTTGAAGGTAAATATGTTGTCTTTTCTTCTGGTATAGAGAGTGTCTTTCACATGAGAATTTCATTTTCTTCTTAGAGAAACACCAGGAAGGTTAACATGATCTTGCACTTGCTGTTTTTCAAATGTCTTCAATTTAAATAATCAAGATGCCAGAATAGCATATTTTAACCCCTTCATCAGCAGATTTTTTTCCAAGATGAATAACTAAATGATTGACTAAAGATTTTTTACACTTTCTGTTTGCTTTTAAATAAGTAAATAAAAAATTGTATCTGAAAGTACCTGAGGAATGAGTTTAGTGTTCCTGTCAGTCTACATAACGAAATTTTAAGATTCATGCTGTCTATTAAAACAGATACTCAGTAATGAGCCATATTCATATAAGAAAAAGGCTATTCAAGAATTATGGTTACAAATCACAATCCATTTTATGAGCTTTTAATAATTTAGTAATTCATTGTTGTGAACTTTTAATACATGTAACAAACAATTAATGGTATAAGATGTAATTACAGAAGAATATCTGTTTCCCTTTGAAAGCCCTATGTATTCCATATGGAATTTTCAATGTTTACATAGTTAACATTAATAATTTTTCAGTATATCTAGCATGTCTTATTATAATAATATGTTATCTTTCTGATTAGACAATGATCTTGGCAAGCTTTTATTATGCCTCAAAATATCTGATAAACAAACTGAATGGATAGTAAACTGCCGAAGACAATTTTGCAAAATGATGAAAGCCAAACCTGATATAATCAGTGGAGAGGGTAAGTACATTGTTTCCGTTTTGGGTTTTCTTATGTATGAAAATTATATTCATAGAATCTGTGGTTCTTAAAGATTAGTATTGGCATATGTAGGAAACATAATGCTAATTCCAGAAGTTCACTTATTTCTGAGAAACTTAAGAGAACACAAATTAAAATCTGAGACACTACTAAGCATTGCTTTTTTTTCTTTTCTTTTTTTTGGAACTGTCTAAACAGTCTTGGTGAGCAAAACTAGAACACTACCTCTACCTAGGTAGCAATTTGCTTGGTTTTACCAGTTTTTACCTGAGTATGACATGTTGCTATATTTTTTAGAAATTTTATTGATTTTTTAATCAACATTGTTATTTTGAATCACTTTTATATGCATGCAAGTAAATTTAGTGACTCCTAAAGAAATTTTATTTTAAGGGAACAGCTATGTTTTCTAAATTAGCAAACAAGTTTATTTGTATTCAGTTATCTACTTGTGCATTTGTTTTTGGAAACCATTGATATGTGGCTAATCATTGCATAATTCAGGATAACATTTTTACTAGGTGCTGGAGATGGGAGATGCGAGGGAAATTGTTGGTAAGGCATCTTTTACACTGTTGGTGGTTGGATTTGTAAACTAGGTTTCAATGCCATTATGGAAAACAGTATGCGAGATCCTCAAGGATCTAGGACTTATTCCAGTCTAGCCATACATGATCTTTTCTTGCGACATTTTTTTTCCTCCAATTGTACTGGGTATCTATTATTACCAGTATCATAGGAATCTTTGTAGTATATTTCGTATTTTGTGGTCTGCTATAAACGGATTTCACATTTTTTGTATATTGTTATTGTTTGGTAATTTGGCAGGGCATTTATTCAGCATTTTGTTATAGGCCTATATAGTATCTGTTTTTTGAATCTTATTCCCAAATGGTCCTCAGCGGTAGCAGACTGGATTATTATGGTGAAAAATGGTGGCTACATGGATATCACCATGGAAACAGCAGGGCCAATAAAGATATGTATCGTGTTGTGTCGCTGTGGGGTACATGTGTTGATCGATGGATGCAGCTGGAAACCACATTCTTAGCAACTATCGCAAGAACAGAAACAAACCACCGCATGTTTCACTCATAGGTGGTAACTGAACAATGAGATCACTTGGACTCGGGTAGGGGATCTCATACACCAGGGCCTATCATGGGGAGTAGGAGGAGGGAGAGATTGCATTGGGAGTTATACCTGATGTAAATGACGAGTTGATGGTGCTGACGAGTTGATGGGTGCAGCAACACACATGGCACAAGTTAACATATGTAAGAAACCTGCCGTTATGCACATGTACCCTAGAACTTAAGTATAATAATAAAAAAAAATTTAAAAGAAGACAAAAGAGAAATACCCACTA